ATTAGACCTAGTATTACTGCATAATGGTTCAGGTTGCCACACCTCATTTCAGCATATCACGCGAGAATGCAACAAGAATAAAGATAAATAAACAAAGAAGAAAGCAGTCAGGAGTGGTAAAATTTCACAAAAGAGAATAAGGAAGAACGAGAAAAAACTGAAATCCTGTTTGACGACTCAGACAAAAATAATCTGTAAATACACCTATAGCACAGAGATCGATTTTGAGCTAGTCTGACTGTTCTCGAACATGTTCCGTCCGACTTTTTAACCACTTGTCCTGAGGATCTACCAGGGACCCATCGTTCTCATTGATGATATAATAACAAGGTAGTAACAGTCTCCTGTCTTAGTCTTTTATAGTTCTGCTGCTTTTTCACTGATTTAATTGGCAGTGAGGTTTTCTGTATCCGGAATGTGTTAATTCATTCCTACTACATCACGTTATGGTTTTTATTCGAAATAATCCTCGAAGATATACAAAGAATTATAACGTAATACAGGATTAAAATTAAGAAAGTTAATAAAGGAAAAAAGACAATTTAATTCTAACTTTGGTAACAAAACATACAGTTTACCAACGTAGGTGTACTTTAAGAACATATTATTTTTGTACACAAAGGTGGCTTCAACTTGCATATGGGTATTGCTTTTACAAACATCAGCATGCACCTGTTTCTACACTAAAATTCTGAAAGCTGTTCGGAACTTAATTACGTGACCCATTTCCATAATATGCCTCGTTGTAGATGAAGAAGGCCTCCTCTCAAAGCTTCACAATTAGCCTGTTTTTGAAACAGGACAGATAGTAGGCGACATAACACATAAGATAGACAAGTGAGTATCAGTCGGAAGATCCAGAATCACCAGAAAATGTAGAGGCTACGAAGAAAAAGTGATGAGTACGATCGTTTAGACATGATTAACCACTACAAAGTTTAGTTAGCACTCAATACTTTCTGAGTACAGAAGTCAAGTTCCTACGACAGCTAGCCAGTCAGTGAAACGGAGAAACGTTTCAGTCTTCTGTTTATTATTCTGAAAGTTGTAGAAATGGCTACATAGTAGCCTGTTTTGAACGACTGCAACTCTTTGAAGTTGCACATTCTCCGGCATACATTCATGAAACCTAGTAGATGTCTACCCCTCTCTACTTCTTAAGAACTTGCTTTGATAGAGAAATGCGAATTTGTAGACAAAGTCGAAAGATAGTGTTTTCAGTGATTCACACGAAAATAAGTATGGCAGATGAAGACGTTCCCTTCAGTTTTCTTGCAATCTTCTGTAAGGCATTATCTTATTTGAACAATGAGCATTTGAATTGTTTTTTTTGTTATCATAGTAACATTTACCTCACCTATGTATTTCTCTTCTAGTTCACAATGGAAACAAATTTATTTCACGACCAAAGAGAGGTCAAGTTAGGCCATATCTATGGATAACTGAATAAAACTTTTGCAATTCAGATGTTACTCAGACTATGTGGTTTTATAATAAACTCGTCTAGGAATTGTTCAGTAGTCTATTCTTCTAATGCCTACGTTCAAATGACCATTTACACCCACTGCTAAATATCTCAAATATTTTAAAGTCATCATTCACATCTTTGCAAACTACAAAGGTGGCATATAAAATATGACATGTTGAATCCCCAATTTCACTCGACCCAACTTTTAGAGCGATACATCAGACTTAAACCATCAATCTGTCCATAACGTTCATTGTCTTAACAAAATTATACGTTTTTCTGGTATATGTTTAAAAGGCATTTCATATCTTTGGGTACAGAGAGCAAATGTACATGCTGACAAATTATTTCTGTAGTTTTATCGCCTGGAATGTTAGTAAATAGGAATTTTGTACCAGAAGATACCATAAACTTATCAGAAATACCCAATTTGTCCGGAATACCATCGGACAGGTAAGAATCCTCCAGCCTGTGCACAGATAATTTATTACGGATCCACTCCAACTTTCTGTCAACCATATGACTACTTTTTGAAACAAAGAGTTCAAGAGTGGCAATATTAGCCAAAGTGGTCTGTTGGATTTAAGTTTTCCGTAAATCATAAATAAACGCCAGATGTAAGCCATATGGTCTTATTTCGTTATATGCTGAATGGTCAACCAAACTCTTCTTCAGCAGCGTTCACAGTAGTTATTATAATCCTGTCGCAAATTTTCTCAGCGTAAATGGACGCTATCAAATCACTCAGAACTATGAATGTAATCCGCAAGCGGAGCTGAAGGTCATTTGTTTAGGGAGTTGACTTTCAATCAATGGGTTACGGGTCCGAATACCGCTACACTTACCGAGGTTTGGGCAGCCAGGTAGTAGCACTATCCCTCAGACAATAGGTGTATCTCACTGCCTACTGCACGAGTATGTACAAGGTTGCTGGGTAAATTTGAAGAGATGAAATAACCTGCAAATAAACCATCTTACTCATAGTGACTACACTATATTCCTTATCCAGCCTCACAAAAACTGTTTATTCTGAAGCTTGCCCACTTTACTGATAACAGATGCCTGATAGCACTGTTGGTGAAATGAGATGCTGGTTGGCAGTCAGTGACCTAAGATTTGAAACAACTATTTCCGTCTTCATCAGATAGTTGATGTATGTATTCGAACCATGCTTCTGCATCAATTCGACTACCTTCTCTGGAAAATGCTTAAAATTTAAACCCAAAAGACGGTATCTCAATTGGAATTATTTCAAAGGCTAACCATTCTGAATATGCAACAAATTTGTTCAGCTGTTATTTCAACAAAGATTTCTGGAATCCTTCTTCCAGGCTATCTGCAATTAAATATGAGTTGTTAGACAAAGAAGCAGGTACTTTTACTCTACCTATCTTCCTCTCACGTTGAGGAAGCCTCAACATTGATATTACTCTCGACTTGATTCATTTCTGAGATCAAAATTATGCTCTGTTATTAACAACGGTTCATAACGATGACATGTGTCAAACTGAAGCAATTCAAAACTCTACTTTGATGTTTGTTTCACTCAACTTCCAACTAATAGGTTACAGGTTTGAACGTGTTTTTGCTTAGGCAGGCTTTGATGCTCATATGCCACCATGGAAGGAAGGAAATCACCATACATCAAGTGTAACAGAATTTACGTTACTAGACTTCAGTTGAAACTTTGAGGACTAAGTTATCCCCAAGAAGTCTCAGCATAAAAACACTCTTCTATTATTGCATAGTAGTAGTTCGATGTATTCATCTAGTTACTAGCCTGGTGGACATACATGTTTACTCATCAACTTGTCTCTCGTGTGATGCTGCATGAGTGAAGTTAGAATTTTTCACCTAACCAAATTGCATACTATAAGAAGTACATTTAGCCTTATAAATTTATTCAGCAGGGCAGTATGAAAACAGCCTTTAAAGTACTACATTAAAGTGGTCACGGCCGAGTGCTTAAATTTATTGAAGCCCCTGCCATTGGCAAATTCAAACCTTAATGAATACAAAAACAGTTTGCACTCCCAATGAACCTTGGTGGTATTGATTTTGATTTTCATATCAAGAGTGATATGTTTAGGATTTTGTTTTCTCTCTTTCCTTCCTACTCTCATGTTTCCTACTAACTTCATTGACCCTTTTCCTAAATTTTCATATAAACAGTCCGACAAGTCAATGTGCGATAGGATTGTTCGAAATGCATGGTGTTAATACACTACATGTTTCAGATAATCTTCGTCTTCTCATTACGCTGTTTATATTAATCAAAGGGACTAATTGTTTTAAATTCTCCAACTAACTTGATGTTGAAGATAAAGTGTGTAGTGCATATATGAGAGTCAAAGTGGCCAAGTTTTGTGACTTGAACATCATATGGTACTTGTTAACTGTTTGCATATAACAACAAATAATACTGGTCTGTATGGTTTTATTCCTAACATCGTGATAAGTGTTCATATAACTCGAGTCATTACTGAAATGCTTCTTAGTCTGAAATCGAACTGACTTAGTGGCAAGAAAAAAATACTGAATTCAGTCGAAATGAACTACTACATATCGTTGATCCCTCAGTATCTACTTTCTTTCTTCATTAGGACATTTAAGCAATGAACTTGTCGGACTATTTATACGGAAATTTAGGAAAAGGGTCAATGAGGTCAATAGGAAACATGAGAATAGGAAGGAAGGAGAAAAAACGAAATCTTAATCACATCACTCTTGATATGAAAATCAAAACTACCAAAGTAGGCTCATCGGGAGTACAAACTGTTTTTGTATTCATAAAGGTTTGATTTTGTGGATGGCAAAAGTACAAACATACACCATATTTTTATTCCTCGGATACCTGCCTCGAATAGAACATTCTTTCACTGGCTAATTGAACCACCACCGGAAGCAAATCCAAAACCAAACAACACTGATGCAAAAAACATTTTGCTTGAAAATATTGTTTGGGGAGTGAAGTTGTTAAAGTACTACATGCTGAGAATTCAATAACATGCCAAACATACTTTTTGGAATACAGCTATTATTGTTATTATTAATATTAAAAACTTAAAGTGGTGATTTCTGTTTTTGTTAACTGATACTAACATTTCTTTGAATTCCGCTACGCTGATCTAGTTCTGGATACTCTAGATAACACTTTGATCCTCACGAAATATTGAGTAGACCTGCGTGCAACTACTGAGTTGCATAATCACTCATTGATGGGAGTAACCACGTATAAACTGATGTCATCACCACAAGACATACCTATTACATAAAACCCTACACAACTTCTTGATCCTTCGTATATACTAGTTGGAAGCTGAGTATTTAAACAGCAGTCACAAGTCAGTATGCCTCTAGAACGCATGGTGTTTGAAAGAAGCAGTTAATTTATGTCATTATATAAGTTTTGATACAATCCCAGCGCGTTTAGGGTTTTATGGTTTAAAGACAATAACTACATTAGAAAAATTCTATCAAAGCTGTGGGAGACCCAGAACTCAAAGTGAAAATAAAAACTATATATATATAATACGAATTTGTGCTCTGTATTTTACCATGCTTTGTTTTTGAAAAGTTTCCGGAGGAAACTATAGTTGTTAATCACTCCAGTCAGGATCCAGTGTGTTTACTGGACACTTGGACGTTGACGCCTGATGAGGTATTTGATTGGATTCTGTGACTACATCCCGTTGAATATTCGTACTCGTTGGAGATTCTGACTGATCTGTTTCATCTACATCTGGAACACACTGGAAAAAAAGAGGAAAACAGGTTGTGCAATCAAATAAACAGCATTGTGAAGTTATATACTTCATTGATCTAGGTGGTCAACTTTCAACCAGTGGTCAATGGTTTGAATCCCGACTAAAATAATGAGGTTTGGGTAACTACGTATTATCGCAAAGCACACACACAACAAGTGGGGTTCTTTGCCAAGTCTATGGGAATGGGAGCATTCACTGAGTAACTCCATACTTTATATTCAATAACCAATTCTAAGTGGAATACTCCAGTCTTTATATACAACAAAAAATGTCAAAAGAAATATACTGAAAGCTGTTTTATTGTTACTCATTTCATTGCGTCGACCAGTACACTGTTACTTGCACCACCACTATTACTGTTATCATCGATTTCATGTTGCTAACTCCCAATTTGTTTCTTAATGGTAACGGTACTTTATTACAGTACATTATGTATTGTTCTTGTTATGAAATAGGAAAACGCAACCGCAATAACGCTGAAAAATTTACAAAAACAACGACTCACACTTGAACTTTTGATAACATTAACTTGACCCATGACCCAGTCAACAAACACAATTAAAGATGAGATAAGGAAAACACCGAACAAATGGCTTTCATGATTATCGCAGATGAGAACGTGTATTCATAAGAAAATCGAGAATCCGTGTTCTTCATAACAATCGAAATGGTGTCTTAAATAAACTCAAATATTGGTAAATCTAGGTGAGTTTTCTTAGAAATACTTATATTTTCCAACAGTTTGTTCGTTTTTCTGAAAAGACAAAACTGTTACATTCAATCCCCTGGGGGTGTAAGATTTGGGCACTATGGTAGGATGCAGCATGCAACTAATCCCTTGTAGTTTGTACTTGCGTTAATACATCAAAATTTGAAAGGAATTAATTCTATCTTGGGTATTTCAGGATTTACTAATTTAGCTTGGTACGCACTTTGACACATGTAATACTCCTAGGCTATAGTTCACTAAAAACGCTATTTCTTGAGCAGAATAACCAGAACCTCCTAACTCGAAAACTGCAGTATGATCTAAATAATAACTGTGAAACTGGTTTTCTTCAGTAAATACTATCTGCAGCAAGCAACAACACTCGATGGTCACAATACACGACCGCTCAAACTCTGAAAATTGGATTGGAATAGTTTCCTTTCTGAGCTTATACATGATAAAATAATTGATTGATAAGTGTTCTTCTGCATGAATGATTCTGCATTGCTAAATTGTTGAATAAAGATGATATCCATACATAGTATTGTATGCGAAGAGCATATGAATTACAGATTGAGATTTGTCTGTACGTGTGTTGACAGTTCATATTCCATGTGTGTTGGTTATGTCAGTATGTTAGGATGGGTTGAAACCACGTTAAATTACGTTCTACTCCCTCATTCCTATTTCGACAATTTTGAAGAGGTTCTTTTACGAGATGTTTTTAATAATTTCTAAAGCCTTTCTGAATAATTTCGATATCATCAATATCGACCTTGTGATCTGAAATTATAGCGTGTATAGCTATGGCTGAAGTGCTTTCAATTTTGTCCAGCTCCACTGGATTTCTAGGAGGTCAAGTAGCTCTTCGGTGCTCATCCTTTTCTAATTTTGATTTCACGAAAAGTCTGTACTATCCATACCTGCAATCCATTGTTTGAAAGCTGAGTGACTAAGTGAGTCACATCTTCGATATATATTCAATGACAATTAAGAAGACCTGATCGTGATTAGGTGCCAGCTAATAAATAGAAATTACTACTGTTGGGAACGCTTTTGACACGCTCCGAAACCTTGAAGTCACGTACACAAGATTTCTGAAATAGCCCCAAACAATGTCTAGGAGTAGTGGAGCTGTGGTTTTCGACTTCTAACCAGTCACATACTGTTTAAACCTCACTCCACATAGTGAATTTTGGACAGCCACGTAATATCACTGGTCTTCACAAACAATGCGGTTCAAGGACCTGAATAGGGTCGTTGGATCGCGATCATACCACACTATACGAAAGATTAAATATCTCGCACCAAAGAAAACTATGATGAAATTTCTGCTTATATAGCTCTGTAAATTTGAAGTTCATTAGCACAACCTAAAAATCTGTCAAACAAAAACAAAGTTATTGAACATTAAGAATTCTGCAGAATGAAACTCACGAAAAATTCAACAAAAGCAACTTCACCGTCTGAGATATTTATCATAAACTGAATGGACAGGAATCCACGATCATTGATACGCAAAGAAATACGACTAGCCATGGATAAAGCCCGATTTGTTGCAGGTCGTAGAAGTGAAAGACGAAAACGAGCTATTCGAGGGCTTGCAGTAACTGATTCGAATACCTCTACTTGATCAGACGATCGAGGCAAATCGAAATGCATAGTTCCAGCAAAACCGTAAGTAGTTAAACGAAGACGCGACTGGACAGCTGGGGGTGGTATTATAGCAACTTCTAGAATTTCGCTTGAAGTATCTAGTTCGTTAAATGCTTCACGCATGCATTCTGACTGCAGGAGAAAGGAAGTGAATGCATAAAAATAAATAACTCAATTTGTGGTTCATGAGGATTAACCTATTTCAATGTAGTTTTTCAACAAAGATTGACATCAGCTGGAGAACAGCAACCTTCTAACAGGAGAAGTATTACTGATGTTGACCTTGATATATCTTAAGCGGACCCCATAATTAAAAATTTAGGGATCCACAGCTAATTATCTGTGCACCAATTGAAAGATACCTTCAACTTACTTTGCCAAGTGTGAATGCAGGAGCTTCAGATGTTGAGCACCTATTTACCAACATCATAATTGATCCAAGGAATAAACGTTAACTTGGATTTGTCCTGGAAACTTTTGACTCATTCGTCTTGGTTCACTCGTTTGTATGTCTTATGCATTAAACCCAGCAATATTTTGGCTAGTCTGCAGATAAACAGAAGGTCTGAAACAACACAGATCTACTTTATTGAGAATGTCTTTTTAACAACTTTGCGAAATACCAAGAGGAAAACCCACTATTAGAATCCATTAACACCGGAATCCGATGATATCTTCATATCAGCATAAGATATTTCGCATTTTATTTTGTGTTACGCAGTTAAACTGTTGAATATGAATAGCCACCATTTTCGGTTGCTCATATAGTGATAAAAAGTTTATGAGGAATTTCACTGTTTAAATTTCTATTAATTTCACTTTGAACAACAAGCTGGTGATAAAATGTAAATTTCCTGAAAGTGGTCTTCTGAGTAAGAATTTCAAGAATATTTCCACAATAAATAGTTAAGTATCTGGTGAAACATCAGAATAGCAACATGTGATAAAAATTGGTCAACAAAATTATGTTACTACATTGAACATTATTCACATTGATCTCAGTCTCTCCAATAACAGACGTTAAAGAATTCCTTCAAAAGATTGTGATTCCGTACTTTGATTAGAGGGCACTAAATTAACCTCGCCTGGTTAATTACTTCACTAGTTACTAGCCGGCCACAAGCCCAGGTAAAGAGGGAAGGTTCGACACAACCCCAGAAAACAAATCCGATCGCTAAACAAACTTCAAAGCACAAAGAAAATATAAAACATAACATTAAACATATTCCTTGCTGGAATCTGGAAGACGAAATGACGCCAGTTAGTGAAAGCCTTCGCGAAGCCAGTCGGCCGACGTGTCTTCTCTTCTCTCGATGAAAGCCAAGGTAAACATGGGCACATGGCATGTCCGCACCATGTATGAACCTACCAAGGCTGCCAGGATTGCGAAAGACATGAGGAGATAGGGCATGGAAGTCCTTGGAATCTGTCAGGAATCAGCAGATGGAATGGAAGTGGACTCTCAAAACTATCAACTGCAGAGTCAATAATCCACTCCGGTCAACCAGACAACAACCACAAGCACACTATAAACCACGGAGTGGCAACCATCTTGTCTCCAAGATCATCAAAGGCTCTCATGCAGTGGGAACCTATCTCCTCCAGCATCACCACCATGACGGCAAGGTTCAACTCAAAAGGCACGAAGGAAAGTCACAATCATTCAATGCTACGCCACGCACCTACAAATAATGCAGACCAAGAGAAGAAGGAGGAATTCTACAGACAACTGCAATCAGTAACAGACAAGACCACACTCCAGTTGGTGACATCAAAATGCATTCTAATGCGTGCAGTGACATGAATGACAAACTCGGAGTGGACAACACAGGAAGACAGCTCGTCATGAGTCGAGAAGCACTCGGTGAAATGATGAATGACAATGCAGAACTGTTTGCAGACATCTGCGCAGTCAACGATTTGATGATTGAAGGCAGTATATAGAAAGAAACACAAGGATATTCACAAAACGACATGGATTTCACCAGACACCAGGACACACTAAAAATCAGATCGACTTCATCTCAATCTCAAGAAAGTGGAGATGGAGACGCAGCCCACTTGACACAACATCAAGAAGAAGAGCAGATGTAGGTTCACACCACTCACTATCTAATGCAGGGAACCAGACTTCCAAATCAAGTTGAAAGCCTTCAATTCAAGGAAGTTGGTGATAGACCACAGTTCAAGTTCAACACCCAGAACAGAAACTGAACTGAAGGACGAAACTACAAAGGACATCTTCACTTCAGCCATCAGGACAAAGTGGGAGACACCAAGCAACATCCCTGAGGAAACCTGTGTCGAAGAACACTGCAACTCTTCGATAGAGATGTGCAAAGAAACCTGCATAACCGTGTTATTACGGAAGAAGAAACAAGATAAGGAATCGATCTCGACAGACACATGGAAGCTGATAGAGCAGGTAGAGGAAGATGATGAAGCAGAAGATGAATCAGTGCACTGCATAGACGAACAACGAAAAGGGGAGCTGACTACAACCTGTTAAACACTGGACAAAGAAGTGAAGAAGAGTGCACGGAAAGACAGAGGACACTTCTACGACACACTGGTAAGTGAAGCAGAACAGGCTGCTGGTAGGAAAGAACTGACAACACTGTTTCAAATAACCAGGTTAGCATCAGGGAAGAGATCAACGCAGATGAAACCAATGAAAGATAGTGAAGGAAAGATGGTTACCACCAAAGAGGAGAAACAAAGGAAATGATGGGCTTACCACTTTAAAAACCTCTTGAGTCGACCACCACCACCACCACCACCTGCAACTCGTCCAGAAATACCACCAGCATCCCAGCTACAGAACTGTCAGTGAACACAACTGTGAACAAGATCCAGATTTTCAACACCAGTGTCAGTGAAGTCAGTCGTTCTGTGTGATGGTTCAGAAACTTGGCGCGTCACAAGAAGCATTTCCTACAAACTACAGACATACATCTAACAGCTGACGCCTACGCTCACTTTATACTGAAGATCAGATGGCCAGAGAGAATAAACAAGAAGGAACTCACCCTGGCACCGAACTAACGAGAACCCATCGCCCAACAAATATGCAGAAGAAGAAAGTGGAAATGGATTGGATTGCTCACACACTGAGAAGAGCGATTGGGGATATCACGCCCCAGGCCCTCGAGTGGAACCCGAATGAGAAACGACGAGTTGGGCGTCCTAGCTGAGGGTGACATGGAGTAGATCGTGTGAGGAAAAATGAAAGCTTGTGGGGAGTCGTGGAGCCAGGTTGAAAAGACTGTAGAGAATAGAGTGAAATGCCGACGTGCTACTGAAGCCCTATTTTCCACTAGGAACCCAAAGGATAAATAATAATAATAATAATAATAATAATAATAATAATAATAATAATAATAATATACAAATAATGGCACTTTACGTGTTGAAGCAAAACTATAAAATGCAACTCAGAAATCATATGCATCTTCGAGGATGTGGATGCTGAAAACTCGGTAAGCGAGGTAGGGGTCGAACGTGTGACCGAATAAGTAAAAATTAAGTGGCTGCACCAATGAGTCACCGTTCCACTACTTGATGAAATACTAGAACGTTTTTGAAATAACGATCGTCTTTCCGAGCGAAACCACGAAAAGACATTAAGATTAAAGCTAATCTATGAACAGGAAAACGATTTTCATTCAACAAAAAAAACAAATGGTATATAAACAGTTTTCACGTCAACAGAATTACTCAAGGAAAACAGTTGAATAATTCATCGTACTTGGCTGATGAATAAGTTATATTACAATACTAAAGTAGCATAAATCAGGATGTGAAGATCAAAAACGTTTAACTTCACGATCGATTACTTAAAATGTTAACATCCAATTTTACAACTTTCAACGAATACACGTTTCCTCTTGATAATTAAGTCTAAGCCTACTTGTAAAGACTATGGACATTTGAACCGCACACATCAGTGAACCAAAACAAATTCCGTTTCACAATACTACTAATACACTAAAACAACATGCTCGTAGATAATTATGCCATGTAGTTACAAGTAAACTGAAGGTCTGCAATGTGAACCAGAGTTCAAACTACCGTATCTAAGAACAGTGGGTCGAAAAAAGTTTTAGTGAGCGCAGCTATTCATATCTACGTGAAACTTGGAAAAAAATGAAATAGTCCTCCAAGTTTTCATAACTCTAAGCATTACAATGAAAAGAATGAGAATACCATGACACGGCAAAAGTAACAACAGTTGTTTCAGTGACACGAAAAAAATGCAACTACAAGACAGAAAACATTTCTGGATATTACAAGGTCCTAACAGATCGGATGGATACGTTCTCAAGCAGTATAGAGTCATAGTTATTATCAACTCGACCCAGCATGAAAAACATCACTAGTTTCCTATCTTACGTTGATCTGCTTTTCATTAACGCCTACCCGTGTGCATTTCAACCTAATCAAGGCTTTTTGAAGCACAAGTACAGTAGGCATATACAGACAGTGAGCACTGATCTCCTTCAAATACGTATACTTCCTCAACCACCCTACTGGTTTGGACCTTGATGCTAATCAATACTCTCACTAGGTAAAAACCAAGGCAGTTAAGGTAGTAGTGATTAGACCTTTGTAATTCATTAACCTGATGCATCTATGTAATAGACTTTGGGTCACAACTAATTAGCGACAACTTACATTACGCGATTGCTTAGGCAAGCGTAAGTGAGACTAAGTTTAAACTGGTAACCCGATAATTGGAAGCTTTAATCCCACTATATTCGCATTAACGAAAAAGACATAACATGATACTTCAAAAGACAATGAAACGGTTAAGGCCACCTTGAGAAAATAGGGATCAATGGTTACAAAAACTCTAGGTGACATGGCTGGAAATCACAGTGGTGCAGATGTGTTTACCCTATGACGTCTACCGAAATTTGAACGTCTTCACTAACCTTCATTTTCCAGTCTTTCTCTTCCAATACATTTTCATTTACTTTAATATTACTCTCTTCCCATCCGCTTGTTCCTTGCATCCTGCTGTGAAGTATAGCAACCTGAACTTATGTACTTCTGTGCGAGGTTCTACGTTGATTTTGTTTGTCTGTCTTAGCAACTAGGGCCCGACTGATAGCTGGTACCTTCACGTAATGGTCGGGCTTGCATCTCACAACGAGCTGTGGTGGTGGAAAGCTTGTTCTCTTGAGGTCCTACCATGCCAGAAAAGTCTGTTGGATAGTGGCAAGACGAAAAGCAGTAACTGTTGCAGCGCAAATTACCATACAACAATGGGGGTCTGAGGGTGAAGTCATACTTCTGCTACCTGGATAGAGTGTAACAACAGTAGACGAGCAGCAGTGTCAAGCCAATGCTGCCTTCCTAATAGGAAGGCGGATTAGAAAAGGTAGGGCCTCCAAAATAGCATACCCCTCCCTGCCTCACAGTTCTTCGTTGCCAGAGGTATCGGTCCTCTCAAGTCAGCGTTAGAACAACCAAACCTCAAAACAACCCGCAAAATGATGTGTATGACAGGTCTCAAGCAGATATTTCATGGGCCCTGTGGTCACAAAAATGGTTTTCCTTCTAGGTTCCTTAAGAGGAAATGGCCGTACACAGTGTGAGCAGCCAGGAAGTGTCAGCCACCCGAGAGAATTTGACCATATCATTCGATATTCTCCCGGATACGTTTAAATCAACGACGCCGAAAGAACTTGAAACCGATATCAACAGGGAGCTTTAACCCAAAAGATGGAAGGATCGGGAGCTGTGTCAAATAGTACGTTTCCAAATGGACCCCAAGACGCGAAGGTACTTGTTTCCTTTTTGGAAAAAGGAATATCGGAAGGTCCCAAATTTGCATAAAACATTGTTTCTTAATCTAAAGTTTTTTTAGTTTGTCACTTTCAAGCCGTTTTAAGACATATCCAGTAGTTCATTTTCTATCCCCATTTTCAAGGTAATTCGCTGATTGGTTAATGCATACCTTTGCTATGTTAATGTCTCAGTTTATGGACAAAATCATATCTCATATGTATACATACACACGTGTGTTCGGGTTAGCTCACTATTATTCCAGGAGGAATAAACTCTCCCATCCGACTTAGTCTTCTTTATTCGTCTTGGGTTAGAGTCGGTGGGTTTCGCGTACGAAGTTAGCTGTCAGGTGTGCGTATTATATCCGCTCGGAATATGTAAGATGCCTTTTCCGCCAAACTGTAAAAACCTGAAGATGGTTTTAGGTAGCCAATTAAGTGTTTGAAATAAATAACACTCGGTATGCCTTTATGTCCATATGGATACTTATTGCCAGCTGAGTAACATTAGTAATCCACACACACAAATTAACTCATGTGTGATCATAAATCGTAAAGATGAAAGCCTTCAACAACACACTACATAATAGGATCTAAACTGCTTGATCCCAAATGCGGTTTTGACAAATAAAAATGGCACTGATAAACTTAGCGAGTAAGTTTCTCAACATCAAAACTAACCTTCATTATGAATTTATCTGCAATATTACTGCTAGAGAAGTCAAAGTCCAATATCTCAAACGCCTCCATAGTTTTGATGTTGCATTCTGCTACAACCGCATTTTCCTCCAGCCTATGAATGAAAATTATTGGAAAAGCACATTACAGCAGGTCAATAGTACTTCCATGGGTTTTATACGACAAGATCAGTGAAACAGGTGGTCCCTGAACTGATGTGCCGAAGATAGAAAGACAGTCCTATAACAAATTTTTTTAAAGAATTAAACTTTACATACAATAAGTATACCAAGGTTAGTCCTAAACGATACTACGTCTTTCTTCACAGAATACTCACGGAAAAGTGCTGAGTGAAGAAATGCGTTTCCTTGAATGCATTTCGAGTCTTCAACGGTTACTTTGATACCATTGTTTGTTGCAAATATTGTAGCAAGCTAAGTAGCGAAAAAATAGTTTGATGATTGAAACATACATCACGAAAATGCACTGCTTTTAATATATTGATAATATCTTTTGCATTGTCCATAGCCATGTAGATAAGTGATCCCTGCATTTTACAGTTTCAACATATATTCCACAGGTATATGTTGCCAACGTCGTGATAAACTCTGAAAAATGTGAGATACAATTACCAAACCAGAAAAATAAATGACATGAAGAACTTCACTTCCTCAGCTTCATGGGAAATTGATAAGAACTAAACGGTTGAACACAAACTTTTAAAAAGTCATTTTTCTAATAAGTTCTTAAAAATTATCAATATAAAGAAATGGGCTTCTGAAGTGAACCATAAGTGATAAGTGCCAAGATAGTTCGTTGAAAGCGATCGGTAGGAAGCCTCGGACCTAGGTTTCGTGCTCGTTGGCACTCGTTAGTAAAGCGAATCTGCAGACACCAACAAAATCAGCATAGAACCTCGCACACAGGTGCATCGGCTCAACTTGCCATAGTTCACAATAGTACACAGAGAACAGGTGGATAGAAAAAGACTGATATAAAAGTAGAAAACGTCGTATGACAGAATAAACAATCTGAAGATAAAGTTAAATACAAATATTTAAGCTTTAAAAGATATCAAGGAGTAAATAAATATACGCCATTGTGACTGATTTTCAGCTTTGTCCTCAACCACTGATTTCAATCGTCTCGGGGACCCCAGCCAGACAGTCTACATCTCCCCTCATGGTTTAGGTCAATAGTCAGAGATTTCATCTACTGGCCACCCTGAACTCTCTCCCAATCTAATCCAAAGTCTCGTTGCGTGGCACGTCGAGGTAGGTGGTGGCTAGGCATGCGTAGTACACGTCCAAGCTAACTTAGTCGACTAAGGTTCACAACGTCATCAACTGACTTGCCTGTCTTGCCCAGTACCCTTCGCTTGATCTCGAAATTGCTCACATGGTGATCCCACCAAACGCGAGCAACGCTACGTAGACACCTGTGATCACCTGTGTCTTCTACTCTTAGCGGTCATGTCTCAGCTGCATAACACGACAAGATGGACTCTAGAGCAGTATACTCGTCCTTTAAATAATCGGGTATCTCACCAGTCGGTGCCATAGATGACGTCAGTTGTCAAATGCCACATAGACCTTCTGTATCCGAGCTGAGGATTCGGGCTTATGCAACTCCCCAATCAAGTGAAGTGGTCGACGCATTCCACTGCTTCACCTCCTATCATTAAACTGGAAGTACTTGCAGCAGACCAGTCCTGGAGAATCATCTTACATTTGACAGGTGCGAAGTGCAAGCCAAATATGTACAGATTTCTGCTCAAGATGTTCAAAAGACCCTGCATTTTGTCAGCATCTTTACATAACACGACAATACCATCTGCGTACCTGAAGTCAACAGGATACCTTTCATGTGAGGTTAGACGTACATAAGATTATTTCCATTAGTACGTCTATAACAAAATTAAACACAGCATACTTGTCGTCACTTGTAAGGTGAATTTTAAAGACTCATGAAAACAGTCATGTGATGTCAAGTTAATAACCACACTCGCCTCCTTTTTATGTCTCAGATAGACAGCATACACCCGTTGTTTGAAATGCCGGAGTTCTGACGACCGATGCCTGTTGTCCAATTCGGCACATAATTTGGACGTTGGAAGCTCAAATGTTGTACGACAGTGGAGTCTTAGAGGACTAAGAATGAGGCTTTGCTGGCTTGCAACGTTGGTAACAGTTGGAGACTGAAGGTTCGAGGAATTCACAAGAGGTGAAGGCAAAGGAGGAGACAGAAATATATAGGATGGGTTATGTTTGATATGATCTCGTATACTACTAGAAGCATGTAAATGGTTGAGACTTCCTGTCTACCCACACCATGGAAGTTTTTTTCTGCAGGGTATCTAAGAAAGATCTGTGACCGTAGTGCCCATGAGACACTTCCTTGAGACCCGTCACACATTGCTTTTTGATTGTTGGTTTGCATTTTGGTAATTCTAAAGCCAAATAGTAAATACCCATACGGCAGGCACTAATATGCCGTAGGGCAAGACGTGTGCTATTTTGGGGGGCCAACCTTGTTTAACCTACCCCATTCCCACCGGGAAAGCAGGCAGCATCAGCATGATACTGCTGGCCATTTGCGAGAAACAACTTATTGCAAATACTGTCCAGTCAGCAGCATAACTTCGCCTTTGGACACAATCCCCTATCATAGCGTAGCAATTAACACTACAAAGGTGTTTTTCGTCTAACCACTATCAAAAGGAACTTCCTGGCATGGTAGGACCTAGAGAGGACAAGTGTTCCAGTTAGTGTGGCTCGTTGGGTCGTGGTAATAAACAAGCTCGATTACTGAGTCGAGGCACCAGCTATCGGTCAGTATAGATGTAACTCGGCAAGACTTCATCCAGTATCGTCCGGAAAATACTGGGTGGGCAAATAATTGTGCACTACATAAATTATCAAACTAAGCCTACACAGACAAGCAACTTACTTATTTATCGATAGTTTACAATTAAAAAAGGACTGAAACTCCCGTGTTTTCAGCATCCTTACTAGTCAGAACTAACTATGAAAATATTGCAAGATAGCTTAGACCTAGTACCCGTAAAATGAAATACAAACAACCACCCACTAAGTACATATACGTTACAGTACACGAAAGACTAGATTTACCTTGCTGAAGTCCGCTCAAAATCTGGAAGTGTTGCCCAACATGTTCAAGAGGCACAAAAAATGCTATTTGCACGATCTTATAATGAAGACATCACGTATTAAGAGCCAATTCATGATAACTAGCTGAATGTTGACCATAAACCCGACCGATAGCCGCTACCTTGGCGTGGTGGTCGCGCTTGTGTATCATAATGAACCGGTCAGCTATGTTGTTGGACTAATTTTCCCATCGAGGTAATACCATACCATAAAAATTAGTTGAATAATGGTAAGACAAAAAGAATTTAACGTGTTAATTGCTGCACTAATGTGGGATTGTGTTGAAGGGCGAAGTCGTACTGCTGGTTGAATGAGAATGTGACAGCAATAAGGTGTTCTCCTTGAGTGATCAGCAGTGCCACGTCGATACTAACTATCCTATCCGAAGGGGCGGTTCGATAAGGTCAGTCATAAAAATGGAACACTCCCACCTACCCCCACGGCATATCACTGCCACTGACCTGGGCTCATAGTCGGACTCGATAAAGCACACAAAAATCTCCGCATGTGACCAGCCTCCAAGAGATGTTGCATGGGCTCTGTCATCAACAACTTATTAATCTAACTCCTACAGGTACCCAAAGAAGAAGTAGCCTTCCACAATGTGGGTAGCTTGAAAGAGTCAACCACCCTTACAGCTCTACACTCGATCTCCCTCAGACCACCACCAACCTTCCATATTCTTGCCTTATAATATTTTCTCACATCTCTCGGCCAATATTCATATGTCACTTTCTATTTCGTCTAGCTCTGAAGACCTATGTTACGATTCGAGTTCCCAGAATAGCACCCACAGTCTCCCGAAGCCCCACCTCACACTACATATTGGAGCCTTCAATTCCTGCACCCTTCATCGAAAACTCTTCACTAGCCAAAACTGTAGCAACTTGGACCACGTATGTTTGCTGTTTGTGAGACACGCATACAGGACCCGACTATGGTTATTCACGTTACCTTAACCCGGTTGATATGAGTTCGCAAAACCTAACCTCCCTCGGTCTTGTAGCTGTAGGTAAAGTATTAGGTGCTAAAACAAAAGGACATTGTTCTACTAGATCCCAGTGAAGGCTAAAAATAACATTGAAACGTGCTGCTGTCTCTGTGTAATCTCTACTTAAGCACCCACTGACTGCAGTTAGGAAGAAGTGAGGGGTGAGTTCGACCGAAAACCGTCTAGTCTCCTACTGAAAGTCAAAAGTTCATATGTGGTTAAAATGGCAGATAATTTCAATAAGCAGGTAAGTAAACTAAGTGAGGTAGAAAGGCACTTATGTGGCACTTTCGGAATCCCAACCAAATAAAAAGATAACGGCAGTCACCTGCTACAACTATGCTTAACCAACCACCTATTTCTTTTCGGTACGAAATTTAGACATAAAGAAAGACATTGTCCACCGACCCCAAATCACTGGAGACGCAGACTCTATTGCTATCAATTATCGCTGAAGAGGATCGATGAGCGGTTGCCACTCCTGGAGCACGTGTTTGGAGATAGGGTACGAACTGATTCAAGTACATGTCTTGGCATACATGAACGTACAAATACAAAGCTTTAAACGCAGTTTAACGATGAGAATACTAAGACTGCTTACAGCGAGGAACTGGCCACAACGTTATCGGAATAGAACAGTGTCACCTATCTGGAAGAAGCCTGTTGCTGTCTTAAGTCTGCTGTGAAGACATCGTTGAAGACTGCAGTCAACTCTCAGAAAGAAGTTAGAAAGGGTCAGTCGATGTCAGCAGCTTCTGAATTAAAGGATGCACGAGAACATATCCTTACAGGCTGCGAAAAAAATGAAGAGCGAAAGTCACTAAAATGTAGACTCACGAAAAATCTACGCGATGACCACAAACGGTGGTCAAATGTCAAAGAGATGGAAAAAAAGTGGCGATAAGCCACAGTAGACAGTTAGTTAAGCTGATTAAGGAGACTGAAGCAAAAAAGTCAACGGTTGGTGAGACGGTAGCGCAAAAAGATGGATAGAAAGATTCGCCCCCAAAAGAGAGAACTGGAAAGATGGGGAAAACATTTCGACAAACAGTTCAACTGGTCCCCAGTTAATATTCCGTTGCTCACTATCCAGTCGGATCTTGGGTGGAAAATTGAGATGGAGCTTCCAACTTTTGTCGAAGTTGAACAGCTTGTAAGTGACCTGCAATCAAGGACGAGAGTACGGTCAGATGAACTAGTACCGGAGGTATTTAATGACGTGGTCGATGATTATCAGTCAGCTTAACAGAAGTGCTAGCAAGCGAACGAGAACCGGATATGAACTCCTCTGATCTCAATCACAGATAGACCAGTCCTCAAGTAAGAGAAGTATCCTTGTAATAACCATAGAGGAATCAACCTGACGAACATAGCATCCAAGATTCTAAGTTTCATAAATAACAGACATCTAAAGGAAGCTCTGGAACAGTAAAATCGAGGGGAGCAGACAAGTTTTACCCTCACCAGGTTCTGAAACACAGGTACACTCACCGACGCTCCATATTGCATACAATCCTCGACATCAAGGCGGTATCTGAATTAATCGATCGTGATACCTTATGGTAGTGTCGCTTACAGAAACGGAAGTCTGGTAAGTTGAATGCTTTGTACTCGAAAACTCGTCGGTATGTTAAAGCCTATAGTGAGCTATCAGCTGAGTTGCGTACATCTAGAGGTATCCGTCAACGATGTCTATTCTCTACATTCCTATTCAACTTTACGACAGACGTATTTATGGGCCTTCTCATCTCTCCCGAAGTCACATAGATTGGTCTTATCACAGGAGGCTGCTTGGTAGGTCTACAGTACTTAAATGACATATTCTGGTCAGATGAAGATACTAACAAATCGCACAGTTTTCCGGACACCCTGATCGGTAATTTGTGAATATATGAGATGTCTCTGACCAAATGAGTGCAAATTGTTTTACCAAGACTGACCTATCCTGGTACCTTGTCTAACAATGAACAGTCAAGTGGTTGAGCGCGCTAACCCCCTCAGTTACCTGGGAATTATGATCATCCCTGGTGGGTTAGAGACCGACGAAACCTCTCCAAAGTGCTTGCTTGGCATTCACCAACTAACGCTATTAGTGGTACTATTGAAGACGAGGTAGTAAGGAACATCTGAAAAGTGACCAAAGTTAATTGTGTCCACAGGCACCTAAATTTCACACATTCACTTTTCAGAAACATGTCTACTACAGACGGATCATACATATAATTAGCATTGCCGAGATACATGAACTGCGCCTACTTAACTAAAGAAAAGGTGAAATTAAGTGCGACTGTGCCGAAACTTACGTTACTGTTATTATATCACTAATTATTACTATCACTACTTACCTGTCTTCTATGCTCTACTTTCCCGCTCATCATTTTTCCACGTTCTACTAAGGAACACTTATTCTCTAGTGAAACAGCTTTTAGTGACTTGGATATGTAGAGAAAATGTTTTCTGAGCAGCTCTCACTTCATTCACTGCCTGCTTACACTGAAACGGGTTGGAAGTGGAGAAAAAACGAAATGCAGTCAGCAACCACCTGCACGCTCACATAGTGAGCAATGGGCCACTCCTATTGTGTGAGGGCTAACGATACTGTCTGGCTGCCTGAACCATGGTAGGAGGAGTGGCGTCTGAACCCGTGATCTACTGGTTAAAAGTTAACGCCCGAAGCCAGAGAAGTGAGGGAGGTAAGTGGATAAGGCGGAGCCAAGGGTTGAGGGATAAACGTCTGACGGTGTCTCACAACTTCCTGCATGGATTTCGACAGATAATGCGACTCGGGACAATAGTATACATGGCTCAGAAATCGATAGTAGTAAGGATAGTGTCGAGGCTTCTTATATTTCCTATTATCGGACAGCAGAACAGAAGTAGTCAGTTTTATGGATGTGTAAGCCAGAACGCTAATCTAATAACCATTTTGCACTTCTTTTCTGCTCTTCCTTTTCTTTTTTGGAGATGTGACCGACTGGCTTAAACGTTAGGCTTTCAAGCAATGGACTCTCAGCACTAATGCCGCCCAACTTACTTCAGTCTGGGTGACCAGGTCTCATGAAAAGCCCTCACAAGTATGAGACGTCTAGTAAATAAACATGAATCAAGTTGAGTTGCATTACGTTATCATTTGTTCTGTTTATACCACTTTCATGTCTTCTTGATATTATTTCGTAGGGCGCATCCTTTGGTGCCTAAGTTGTTTCAAGTTTCTTGCAAACAAAATAATGAATCCTCTAACTCAGAGAACTGATCACTTTACGGTAGCGAAAGAGTTAGTAAGTCAGTTTTATCAAGAGACATTGCAATACTGCACGAAGATTTACGTTGCTACACCTGACATCACATCATGACACACAGTAGCAAGACAAAGAACGGACAAACAGGGGAAAATGTTACCGAAAGTCGTAAAAATTCATCAGCCAGAGACTACATTAACTTTATTTTTTTCCTTGCTGCTTTATTCACTTTTCAAACCTAAAGCGACTTTAACCAAATTTCTACGACTGAGTACACAATGCTTACACAGGTGTATCATCTGTCTGACTGACAACAGTAGATGACAGGTGAACAAAGTTCCTCCTCCAAAATTTGAAAATCTGTTAACTGTGGATACATTAACACACTACTCACATACACTCCGTAATCAGAACGGAAATGTGCTTTGCAATAGTTTTATTAAGCCACTGGGAAAGTTAGGTCTGAATAAAGATTTCCGGCAAAATACCGTGAAAATGCCATCCTGAGAAAAATTTTTAGCATGAATGCGCAAACTGCTATGTGGAATATGTAGTTGATCGATAGTAGGAACATCCAGACTCCGCTCATATATTACTATTTTATGTAGTAACTTTGGCTCTCGGTCAATGGATAAACTCACCGTTAAACTTTCATATACACGCATGTCCAATCAATAAACTAATTTTGTCTTTACCCCTTTTAATATGAAATACCGTTATAGTTTACATGCAGTCAATTTTGCTATTATAGACTTGAACTTGTTTAACTTTATAAATTTCGCTGTACTACTGATTACCCAGAAATCTTGCCAGGGCAGCCTGAAAATGCATACAACCTAGTATAAAGTAAACGGCTAGAAATTCGGGTCAAACATCAAGCTTAAAGCAAGATCAAAACCGTTTGACCAAACAAACTTCGACACGTTTTAGCTCCATCAGAATGTCCAAACTTGCGAAAATGTTTTTTTGCATGTCAACCAGTGAAAAGAGATTCGTTTGATAGGACTGAGTGAAATTCGAAAAAATGAACACCGTCTGCATTTTTAAGTAGAGAATATTATAACAACCATGACACGTGACCACTTGTAAGCCAATAAAAGGAGTGAAACCAGAGAAAATTACTTCGAAACTTGAGATTACGCGAAAACTAATTCATGACATCATGGGAATAACGACAACCATTATTTTAGGGTTAATTTTTTAACTCAGTTACTGCCAGCCTTTTCAGCCTGCAAACGGAAACTGTGCGTTGATTAGACCAAACTGAACCTAACGCCAAAAAAGTACTTTTCAAACTGTGAGGCAGAAACAGTCCAACAAACAACTGATATGGTAAAACAATTCAATATCAAAGAAAGTAGACCAGTTGGCTTGTGGTAATCCTTGCGGAAGATATCTCTGAGAAGATCTTGTTTCCCCTTGAAAGCGTTAATAGAAGGTGCTGATAATGCTTGCTGAGGTAAGGTGCTCCAGGCGCTGACAACACGATGGGAGAAACGCAGATTCACGCTAAGTTGATTCGATTGCGGCTTTTGAATTTCCTTGTGATGCCCTCAGAGACAGTCAGTCCTGCCAGAGTTGAAAAGATGGAACATATCAGATCAGAGATCACCCCGTTTCCTACGGTGAGACAGTGGAAATAAGTTTAGCTGATCTAGTCGTTCCTCATAGGACAGATTCGAAAGGCCTGCCACAAGCTTAGTACCTACTCTTTGAACACCCTTGAGTGTGTCAGCATCCTTTTTTAGGCATGAGCTGGCCGCCTGAATCCAGTACTCCAAGTGAGGTGTAACGTAAGTAGAGTAGAGTATTCTGAACATGTCCTGATCAAAATATTTGGAAGCTCCATGGAAAAACCATAATACGTAGAAGCCCTTTGCTGCAGCTGCATTGCAGTTTGCTGAGGCTTTAAAATCATGACTACTGATGACACCCAAGTCTTTCAGTTTAAAGACTGGGAGTAGTGATGTGCCATCAACGGAATACTGGAAACAATTGCTATGACCAATGTGCATTATTGCACTTTTGTTACATCTGATTTCCAGGCATCAACGTTTGGACCAACCCACTAGTTCATCTAAATCCGCTTGAAGTATATGCCTATCTGCATCACTGCATATGGCGATCCAAATATTTACATCACCGGCAAATAACAGTACCGAGGAGTTGGGCATCTTCGGCAATTCGTTGATATATAACAAGAAAAGTAGTGGACCTAGGATTGTTCCCTGAGGAACTCCACCCGTCACTGGTTTCCGCCCACAAAGTATCCCATTTACCCTTACTCTTTGCCTCCTATCGTACAGAAAGTCCCTAATCCAAGCTTGCAGTGGGGCACCGAACCCGAAGGACGAGAGCTTTCCTAGTAATCTCACATGCGACACTGTCGAGTGCCTTACTGAAGTCTATGCACTCGGCATCTATTAGCAGCTTGCAATCACGGACTGCAACCTAATCCTCTCCTGCGACAAGGAGGTTAGTTGGACAGGAGTATCCAGTAAGAAAACCTTGTTGTTGTGGCGCAAAGGGATTGGTTGATTCAACATGTTCAAGTACCTATCACGAATTATTTTTTCTAAAATCTCAATAACTATGCTAGCCGAACTCACGGAGCAACAGTCAGATACCAGATGACGACAACCGGTCTTAGAAACTGAGCTGATTATGGCATCTTTCTAGTCTCTGGGGCGGCAAGCCTGAGTTAGGGACATTGAAAAGGTTCGCGACTGGCTCAGCAATAATGTCTGCCATGGAGGATAAAAATCTGGGATATAGCTCATCGGGGCCAGGGGATTTTCCAGGCTGAAGATTAATGAGCTACTGTAAGGCTCTTTCCATTGTTGTGAACGCAGTATCCGTTAGTGGAACAGTGATGACACCAGTAGTGGGCAATCCATCTTCATGATCTACAGAGTAGACTTCACTAGAGTAATACGATAGACATTCAGCTTTGGACAGATTTGATTCCGCCAGACTATCGGACTTTTGACTCGTCGCCAGGGAGGGAATTCTACACTTTCTTTTAGTTCTCCATCTGATGAGTGCGAACGGTCCTTTAGGATAATTTTGGCAGTCCCTCACAAGCTGCTTCTCGTAGGACATTTGAGACTGTGTAATCAAAGTTTTGCAGAGATTATGGGCCTTACAGTACCCAGCCCTAAAACTTTCCAGTCTACCTTGTGGAAACAAGTCCATAAACGTTTCCTCTGCCTTAATAGCTTCTTAATGTCTCTACTAAACCGCGAAGGGTGATCTGGGAATCGTCATAGAGTCGAATATGGAATATACGGCGTCGTTACCCCCTTCAAGTGGAGTCCTAAACTTATTCCATGCGCACTCAATTGGCGAGTCCTTGTCGACAGTCCAATGATTACCGACTGTGCGATCCCTTATACTTCAAATGTCTTCGCGCCATATATTAGATCTAGGGGAAGCAGCGTCATAACCAAACTCATTTGTAGGAAAACCAAGCGTCAGCACAATGTGGTCGCTGTTGGCTGATGGAGGGAAGTGTCGCAGATCCAAAATGTCTCCACATTGACGGGTCAGAACCAAGCCTAACGACGATGGCCCATGTTCAGAGTCGTAACGTGTTGCACATGCTACATTTCGGACTAAAGCAGATTCTAATACCCTCAAGAGTAAGTCATTTTCGAAGGAAATGCCCAGTGCTGAGACTTTCAGCCCCACCCAGTTTATGTGTGGCGTATTCAGATCCCCAACTATTGTGCAACTGTTTTCTATACTCCAGTTGCGTATATGCTTCGGCACGAAGTCATTTGCGAGGCCAGATGGACTACGGTAAGCTCCTCACGACCCGAAAACCCACTATTTTAAGATCGTTTTCCCCAGCAGTTTGTCGAGCTTTAAGTTCGGCGACAGCTTCTCATCCTTGTATGCGGTCCTCGAGGGGCCCGTCAAGTCGGTCGCGGATATCCGAATTTCATAGATTGGATGCATTACTCAAGAGTACATCCACTCCATCCTTGTTGCCTAAAACAACCCTCAAAATTCTCTTCTCATCTGGTTTTTCGTCCGTTTTCTTACTTAACCTGACTACTTTGAAGGCGTGTATCCCTCTAGACTTTTCAGGCAGAATAGGTTTGATGGCCGGCTCGACTGGTTTCTGGTCATGGCCATGACGTGTCGAATCATCTCTGTCTGATGACTCCACAACATTCCAGAAAATCCTACTGGGCGTTGGAGTGGGGTCCTTGGGTCGTGTGTTGACGGCCTTCGAAGCCTCCTAAATAGGTTTCATAAGCTTAGTAGCTCCAGTGATAACCTCCGGCGGTCTCTTCGAATGCCTTCCTGGGGAAATCCATGTAGATTTGTTGACCCCTTTTTATACGGTCAACGCTGTTACCAGAGATGCAGACTTTTGGTGAATCTTCAGGCATTATAGTTGTTGTACCATTTGCCCTCGGTTTCCTCTTGCATCAGATACGCTTCGGAACTGGTGTAATTTCCCCGGTTGGATCACTAGCACTGAGAGATCCTTTGTCAGGTGTATTAGCGATAGCACTTGTGGCGTCATCATCCGATGCCGCATCAGAATGGCAGCTCTTATTTCCACATAGCTGTTCTTGACATTTCAACAGCTTCCTGGATTAAGGCCAGCAGCGGTTTGCAGCAGAAATCATATAACTAGGGAGAAGCTGGTTTGCTGCAACGCTTGTAAACGGTTGGTGCCAATCAGGTACAAACTCTGTGGAACCAACATCCACATGCCTCACATTGCATACCCTCACCCACCCGAAATTTAAAGCTGGACCGACCGCAAACACGATTACTGTTGACCACGTTATTCACCAGCATCGTGTACTAACTGAAGTATTCGGTCAAAATTTCGACAGAAGTACTTGAGTTGTGACAACGAAAAGACCAAACTTAGCCTCAAAAAATCATTAAACTTCAAACACCGACTCAAGTAACTGAGGTCAAGGTTTATGAGAAAGCCTTTCATGTGCATTACATGACAACAACAAAAATGTCAACCGCATGGGAAATTTCACTTCCTACTTTTAAAGCGACAACGTGGCAATGTCGAAAGACAAGCGACCTTAAGGTTCTCTCAGTAAGCATCTGCTCACTCTACTATCAACACCAATCGTGCGAACAAACCAATCTAAGCGTTCTTGAACCCTCGCTTTTTTTCTTGAGACGCAAGGCTTTTCGTAAAACTGCAGTTTTCCCAATCATGTGGGGATCTATTTCAATCTCTTCCGGCATCTGATATCTTGCTGCGAGCTACCGCAAACCGGCCTTTCTCTTTGCACCCCCTTGTGGATTCTGTGGAGCAATTCCAGGTTTTTGACCGACTCCGTTGCGGTAGGCTTACCCACTCACCTAGTGTAGCTCTGTTTAGCCCGATGGGCGATTGAGTTTTGATTGGATCTGTAAGGGTTGTATGATTCGTCCAAGGACTGTGGTGAGGACGGGTTCCCTAAATGTCGCGTTAGCAGAAAGATGTTCAAACCGGCCGTAAAATGAGGGTAGAAAAGATGTCCAGTGAAGTCAAGCTGGAGGAAGCGGAAAGAAAGAAATGGAGCGAAAAGAAAGAGAAGAAGGAGCCCAGGTAGATTCTCGCGAGATAGGAGTGATGGGAAGAACCTTGATAGATACGGCAAGGTCATGGAGGCAGAGGGAAGAAGGGAGGCAAGTTAGACTGTAGGACGGACTATGGGAATAGAAATTGTGATTTTATTAGTGGGGCATAGTAGCCGGAGCAGAGGTCTAGCAGGAAGTTATGGGGTTGATTCAAGTTTGCGCTAATAGTGTCAGTAAAAAGGATCCGACATGGAGCTGATCGCGCTGGGTTGTATCAAAATATGATGTTGTATTCGTCTAGCCCGCTTCCCGGCTGTATGAGCGCAAACCGTGCGTAGCTGTCCAACCTACTTTTGAAGCTGTCAACAGATGGGGAAGCAGTAATCTCGGAAGGCAATGGGTTCCAGTGACCAGAAACCCTCAGGGAGTACAAGTGTGAACGCACACGGGTATTAGCTTTCTGGTGGTCGATTTTTCCTGGGTCATCGCGATGTTTGCTACAGCGGCCATTCGGTGGGATTCCACTGTTCGGATGACTTGGATTACTTGGCATTTTGTAAACCGTCATCAAATCACCGCGTAACCTACGATAGCTAGGTCTTCCATCCTACCCCCATAGGGTCTCGGCCACATTCCTAAAACACTCTCTTTTGTTCCATTCTGGGCTTTCTCCAGAAAGTTAACATCTCTCTTCTCGTGTGGTGGTGCACCGAGGTTGTATATAGGTCTTGTACAGC